TGTACAGCAAAAGCAAAAGTTAACAGTAATGGCAATCCTGCTCTGTTGAGAAAGGGTAACTTGTTTCAGTGACACTGCTGTATCCTGACCTGCACTGTATGTCCTAAAGTCAACTTCTGCAATGTAGATGTATCTCAGTTATGCGGCTGCGAGAACTAGGCCACAAACTGAAGCAACTACAGGTAATGTTCACAACTATGTGTAGGTAGATACAGTAGCTGAGGTGGCAAACTATCAATATTCACTTGGTTAGTGGGTGCATGAGTCTCCCTCACCTGATTAAGTAGTCCGGCAGATCATAGCAGTCTGTCTTTCTCTGCAGTCAGTCCAGGGAATCCCTGGCTCAGACTCAGCATCCCGTCTGGTCTAATGCGGCCAGTTTGGCCTGCTTGGCAACATGGCAGACCAAGTGGTCAGTATGCTCTTTCTCTCTCTCCAACTCTAGTCCTGGGCCTAGTTCAGCCATGAGCACACCTTCTTCCCTTTCAGTCTCTCCCCGCACTCTCCTAGGCCAATCGCCCTGGATTTGATATTTATATGCCCTCGCTCACACACTACCTCTCTTGGGAAATGTAGTCCCTGACTGCCCTGCTCACCAGCCTGTTGTACAGCATACAAGTTCCAGAGGGCTGTTCTGTTCATGTGAGTGACCCTGAATGGCAGACCACCGCCATGTAATGTCAATTTCAATGTACTGCAAGTAATAACATTTCAATGGGCTACACACACAACATGTAAGTTTGGTTTCGTCTTTTCTGTTTTATATTGGTTATATTGCCTTAGCTTGCTGCACATCAGAAATACACAACTTTGTAGTTGGTTTGTGTCTTTTTTGTTTTATATTTGCTGTATGACTTTATCCTGCTGTACTTCAGAAATACACAGGATTGAAGGTTGTTAGTGTCTTTTCTGTCTTATATTGGCTATATTGCCTTATCTTGCTGCACATTAGAAAAACACAACATTGAAGGTTGTTTGTGTCCTTTCCATATTATATTTTCTGCACATCAGAAATACACATACCGGTAATTGATATTTGTGGCTTCTCTACTCATATTTGTAATTTTGCTGCACTTCAGAAATACACAACATTGAAGTTTGCATGTGTCTATTCAGTTTTATAATTGTTATATGACTTTATTTTACAGCACATCACAAAAACACAACATTAAAGTTGTTTGTGTCCTTTCTATTTTATATTGGTTATATTGCTTCACTGCACATCAGAAAAACACAATAGTGAAGGTTGGTTCTCTTTTCTGCTTGTTATATCGCTGCAGTTCAGAGATACACATCATTGAAGTCGGTGTCTTCTCTGTTTTTTTTTTTTATTGAGTATATTGCTTTATCTTGTGGCAAATCAGAAAAACACAACAGTGAACGTTGCTTGTGTCCTTTTCTGTTTTTGTATTGGTTATATTGATTGATCTTGCTACAAATCAGAAATGCACAACAGTGAAGGTTGTTTTGTGTCTTTTCTGTTTTATATTTGTTATATCACTGCCATTCAGAGATGCACATTATTGAAGTGTGTGTCTTATCTGCTGATATTTGTTATATTACTTTATCTTGCTACACAACAATCAAGGTTGCTTGCGTCCTTTCTGTTTTATATTGGTTATATTGATTTATCTTGCACATCAGAAATACATACCATTGAAATTTATGTATTTTCTGTTTATATTGGTTATATTACCTTATCTTGCTGCATATTGTGGAATAGTTACAATAAGTTTTTACCCAGCTCATTTCTGCCTAATTTTAATCCATTTAACTGCAGGCGTATAGGGAACTTGGGTATATAGAGCACTTGTACAGCTGACACACCAGCATTGAGATGTGAGGAAGCCATAGCTGGGTGTTCCTTGGGTACATACCTGTTCAGCCTTTGCGAGCCCAGGGAATAAGCTTCCCTTTAATATATTACTCTTTAGTGGGCTGCCTTTTAGTAATCACTATGAGGGAAAAAAAAGGGATCCACAAGGGTTGTCCATCAGGAAGCCTTTTCTAAATAATTCTCCAGAACAGATTAGTATTTAAGCCAGATCCTTTGTTGGCCATAGTAGTATCCTTGTTTCACAGAACAAGTCTCTGATTAGTCCTTTTTAGTGGTCCTGAGAAGCAGTTATAGGCATGATAGGCCAAAATTGCTAGATGGTTGAGACAATCGACCTTGCTAACCTACAAAATTCAGAGTTTCTGTTTCCATCTTTAAGAGCCCACTCCACCTAGATCCTGCATCCAAGGTAGAGAAAGCAGGGACATAGGTGAAGCTGACCTGCAGATCAGTCACATGATCCAGCTAAGATACCTTCATCAGGCATTATGGAGTGGAAATAAATTCTTACAGGCAGTAGTCCCACCCCAAGGTAGGCCTTCGGTTACTTGATTATCCTCTTAGGTGTGCCATCCGGGAAGGTGAGAAGAGAAAACCAACAGTTAGACTTGCCAGTAACTGTGCTTCTAGGAACCTTCCAGGAGAGCAGGTCTACTTCCTGCCCAGAAGAAGGGGGGAAAAGATATTAGAGCAGTAGTTGGTAAGTACCTATAAAGAATTATGCCCCTTGTGGACCGGTTTTAGGAGTTACTTTATCACAAACTGAGGGACAAGGGGAAGGGTGGGGGCTTTAAAAAGCTGTCAGTTGATTGTGTTTCCCAGTTGTGCCATCCTGGAAGGTTCCTAGAAATACCATTACTGGTCTTGGTTTTTTTTCATCCTTTGTGCTTTGCAATGTAGCGTCAAAAGGGGAATAAAGCTCTCCTAAAGTAAAGTGCATACATTCGTTTTGACCTTTACCATTCTGCTATATAAAAGTCGTGCTAATGTGATAGCATTTTAGCCTAGGTCAGTGGTCGGTAAGCCGCGGCTCGCGAGCCACATGCGGCTCTTTCCACACTTTAATGCAGCTCTTCTGTGTGCCGGGCGCCCCGCTCCCCTCTCTCCTCTCGGGCGGCCGCCCCCCAAAAGTCAGGACTCTGCAGCTAGCCCAGCAATGGGCAAACTACGGCCCGGTGGACCTTTTAATCCGGCCCGTGGAGCGTGGCAAACATTGGCTGTCAGGATGTTGGCGGGGCAGCGTGACGAACTCCTCTCCTCTCACAGTCCGCCCTGAAGACCGGAACGGCGAGAGGAACGCGCGGAGCAAAGGTAAGTGAATTGACACAGGGGGGACTTGGGGTCTTACTATGGGGGATGAATTACTATATGGGGGATGAATTACTATAGGGGGGATGAATTACTATAGGGGGGGTGAATTACTATATGGGGGATGAATTACTATATGGGGGATGAATTACTATATGGGGAATGAATTACTATATGGGGGATGAATTACTATATGGGGGATGAATTACTATATGGTGGATGTATTTTCAGTTTTAAAAATGTGGCTCTCAAAATAAATTTCAATCGTGGTTTTGGCGAGATTTGGCTCAGTTGAAAAAAAAGGTTGCCCACCACTGACCTAGGTTGACACTACAGCGGTGTGGTAAATCCCATGTAATTCGCACAGGAACCGCACTGCATTCCTCTACAAGTCACAAGCGATTTGTTTGCGGTGCGATTGGAGCCATACATTTTGTATGGCTCTATTCACACCGCACCCACACCAAAAACTTGCAGGACCCTTTTTTGGTCCACACTAGAATCAGATTGCATGGGTATTCACAGCCATGTGATCCGATTCTGCACATTGTACCGCGTTTTGCGGACTGATGTAGGTGTGTTGTTAACTTAACATACACACCCGCATTGGTTCGTGTGAACGGGGTGCGATTGTAATGTGGTGCAGAATTTGCACTGAAAACGCTGCAAATTCCGCACCGCATCAGTGTGAACCAGGGCTTAATCAGCAGACTTTGTTGAGTATATTTTAGGTTAAATATATGGGGTGCACAAATTCCATGAAAAAACTACAGGAACAGGCATTTTTAACATTTTGTTACAATTCCTAATAAAATTAAGTAAACAAAATTTATATGTGTTCAAATTTGCTACCAAACTAAGGTCTATCTGTTGCAAAAAAAATGTATAATATATTAGACTATAGGCTACAAATCCCCTCAAAAAATACAAGGTGCAGAACTGAGACATTGTCAAAACGACAAAAAATACTCTGGTACTGAAGTGGTTAAGAGGATTGTCTTGCCCATTTATGACCTTACTTCAAAGATATGCTGCGTTAAATTAGAAAGTTTGGCATTCAAGTGATACTCCTTTATTGGCTAACTGAGAAAACTGAAAAGTTATGTAAGTTTTGTCAGGCATGCCTGATGAAGAAATCAAAAGTTGTGAAACTTTGCATTTTCTGTCTTCTGTGTTGTCCAATAATCCCTTTAACTCTACACATTCTGCTTTCATCAGTGAAAAACACACTACCATACACTGTTGTGACTCAGTAAAGATGTACAATGACAAAAATGGTTACGTTACGTTCCCCTGCATAGTAGGAACCTTTGGAAAGTTCTTCTGTGGGTGAACTTTTAGGAATGTGTACGCGGAAACCTCTCCAGGATGTTTATATAAGAATTATTGTAGAAAGCTTTGGAAGCAAATTCTGTTTACATTTTATTCTATTCTGCCTAATTAAAACATTTGATACCATTTACATGTTCACTTTAGAGTACCAATAAAATAGGCGCAAGAGAGCTTTTTTTCACCATAGTAATTATATGACCAAAGGAGGACCAGCAATGGGCTCTAGAGGTCCACCCAGGTTTGGGGTATAGGTGCAATTTCTGTACATCATTCCCTACGAGTGGAATTGTTTGAAGCCTTCCCAATATCAGGAGCTACAGTTCATGGGCTCCCAGTGCAGCCATATGCCATCACAGTGATATTACCATGCCCCACCATTGATGATTTCATTGGTGCTCTTGGGCCCATGAGAAAGAGGGCTTGGTTTGTATTTGACAATGTTTAAAGGCTATGTTTTTTGTTTTTTCTAGGGCCAGCACCAAGAAGACCATCCTTTCCTTTCTTCCCCATTAAACCACCAGCCATGATCCACAGCCTGTTTCTCATCAACCCTTCTGGGGATATCTTCCTGGAGAAACACTGGAAAAGTGTGGTGTCGCGATCAGTTTGTGACTACTTTTTTGAGGCCCAAGAAAGGGCATCCGATCCAGAGAATGTGCCACCCATCATCCAGACTCCCCATCATTACCTGCTCAGTGTTTACAGGCATTCCATATTTTTTGTGGCTGTCATACAGACTGAGGTGCCCCCGCTATTTGCTATAGAGTTTCTTCACCGAGTCGTGGACACATTCCAGGTGAGATCTTACAATAGCTGTTGCCTGTTATGCCTGGAAGTGTTATATTATATACGGCAACATGTCAGATATCATTGTCCAGTACACAAAATGCATGCATTAAAGTGTTATTAAACCCACAACAGTAAAATCAGTCTGTATATGTTATACTCCCTGTGGAACCTAAGGGGTTAATCCTCTGCATTGTGTAAAAATGCAGTTTGATCCTGACTTTTCTGATCCTCCCCTTCTTCCAGTGCTCATCTCTTATCTCCTGATAAGGCATATCGTGTGGAATCACTCTGCACATGCTCAGTTTGGTGTGTATTACTAGAGAGGGTTTTTTTTTTTTTTTTTTGTCTTGGGAGAGTGCATGTGATCAGCACAGGGCCAATCAGCACTGTCCAGACAGAAGTCAGGGTCCTAGATCCATCCTCCTAGAGCAGAATGAAAACTCCTCCTACAAGCTTTAACATGCTGGGCTGGACACTGATAGAAGTTACAAGACTGCTCTAACTGCTGATGAGAAAAGGTATTTAGCAATTAATATTTACTAAAATAATTGCACTTCTATGTTCTGTACAGTTGCAAGAAAAAGTATGTGAACCCCTTGGGATTACGTGGAGTTTTGCATGAATTGGGCATAAAATGTGCTCTGAACGTCATCTAAGTCACAACAATAGAAGAACACAGTCTGCTGAACATAATACTACACAAACATTAGATGTTGCCATGGTTTAACTGCACATAACATGTAAACATTCACAGTGCAGGGAGGAAAAAGTATGTGAACCTTTGGACTTAATAACTGGTTGACCCTCCTTTGGCAGCAATAACCTCAACCAAACGTTTCCTGTAGTTGCAGATCAGACCTGCACAACAATCTGGAGTAATTTTGGACCACTCCTCTTCAAAAAACTGTTTCAGTGTAGCAATATTCTTGGGATGTCTGGTGTGAATCGCTCTCTTAAGGTCATGCCACAGCATTTCAATCGGGTTGAGGTCAGGACTCGGACTGGGCCACTCCAGAAGGCGTATTCTGTGCTTTTGCAGCCATTGTTTTGTTGAATTACTTGTATGCTTTGGGTCATTGTCCTGTTGCATCACCCATCCTCTGCGGAGCTTCAGTTGGCAGACAGATGGTCGTACGTTTTCCTGCAAAATGTCTTGATAAACTCTGGAATTCATTTTCCCATCAATGACAACAATCCGTCCAGGCCCTGAGGCAGCAAAGCAGCCCCAAACCATAATGCTCCCTCCGCCATGTTTTACAGTGGGGATGAGGTTTTGATGTTGGTGTGCTGTGCCTTTTTTTTCTCCACACATAGTGTTGTGTGTTCTTCACAAACAACTCAATCTTGGTTTCATCTGTCCACAGTATATTTTGCCAGTAGTGCTGTGGAACATCCAGGTGCTCTTTTGCAAACTTCAAACATGCTGCAATATTCTCTTTGGACAGCAATGGCTTCCTCCGTGGTGTCCTCCCATGTACTCCATTCTTGTTTAATGTTTTCCTTATTGTAGATGTGTCAACAAAAATGTTAGCATGTGCCAGAGATTTCTGTAGGTCTTTAGCTGACACTCTGGGATTCTTCTTTACCTCATGCAGCATTCTGCGCTGTGCTCTTGCAGTCATTTTTACAGGATGACCACGCCTATGGAGAGTAGCAACAGTGCTAAACTTTCTCCATTTGTAGACAGGCTGTCTTACCGTGGACACATGAACATCAAGGCTTTTGGAGATACTTTTGTAACCCTTTCCAGCTTCATGCAAGTCAACAATTCTTGATCGTAGGTCTTCTGAGAGCTCTTTTCTGTGAGGCATGGTTCACATCAGATAGTGCTTCTTGAAACCAGTAAACCCAAAACAGGTGTGTGTTTTTTTAAGGGCAGGACAGCTGTCAGCAACACATCCAATATCATCACACTGATTGGAGTCAAGGTTGGCTCACTCCTGGCTCCAATTAGCTCTAGGAGAAGTCATTAAGCTAGGGCCTCACATACTTTTTCCTCCCTGCACTGTGAATGTTTACATGTTATGTGCAATTAAACCATGGCAACATCTAATGTTTGTGTAGTATTGTGTTCAGCAGACTGTGTTCTTCTATTGTTGTGACTTAGATGACGTTCAGAGCACATTTTATGCCCAATTCATGCAAAACTCCACGTAATCCCAAGGGGTTCACATACTTTTTCTTGCAACTGTATATTGTGGGAGACCAGATATAGTGAATGCAGGGTCCTGAGTTTAGTAACACTTTAAGCATGAAAGGGCAACATAAGTTGCTACGGGCAAAGAGAACTGTTCTATCAGATGCTCAAAGTTAAAAACAAAACAAATTTGTTCTTCAGTGACAAGCAGAAACTGTTGATTGCTCATTTTTAGGACTTTCAGACCTGATTACTAATCTATGTACTTATGTGAATGTTAGTGTATTGTTACTTAAAGGATGAGTTTCCTTTAAAAAAAAAATTATAAAAGCACATTTTTTTGCAGGTAAAAAAAGTGCATTTACTATTAAACTTTTTTTAGGAGCCTGGAAAGCATTGTACCAGCAATCAGCAGACATCTGCAGACTGCCATTGTACATCGTATGGGCAGGCAGTTTCACACTGATGGGAAGAACTTCAAACCGACAGTCGCAAAAAAGGCTGTCGGAACTTGTAGTCTTCCATTTACGGAACTCTGTAAATGAACGACGTGGGTGGGTGGAGCAATGCACGGCCGCGTTTTTAAAAAATTGTAAAGGCTAGCAAGGGAGAAGATACCCCGCTAGCTGTCACACTTGAGGGTGGGGTGGGGTTACAGTAACATGTGTTGCACACTGAATATGTTACAAAAGGTGAATGTATCCTTTAAGGCTTGTTCAGACATGTACCCAAGGGGAGGTAAAAGCAGGTGCATTTGACGTATTTTATGAAAGTTAAACACCTCCCTTGTCAAGACTTTCGAAGGGTTTGAAATTGCTGTTGGTCTTGACTATGGTGTTGTTGATGTGTTGTTAGTAGCCCAAGCAGGCTCAGAGCTGTCACTCAAAATGAGACTCTGTAGTACTTTGCTCCTCTCCTTTGCTTCCTCTATGTTGCTTATTACATTTACTATCTACTATTCTTCTAGTGAAGATTAGAGAATGTCACCTACTGATTGGTTGTTACAGGCAGCAAAATTAATTCCCTTTGCTTAGGTTTTAATAAATGAGTTGTGCATTTGAATAAACATACCCATAAGAAAGCAATGGCTTGAAGAATTTGAATTGTTTGGCTATCTAACTGTATCTTTGCACTCATTCCTTTTTTTTTTTTTTTTTTTTTTAAGGATTATTTTGGTTCATGCTCAGAAATTGTCATCAAAGAGAATGTTGTTGTTGTTTATGAAGTTCTTGAGGAGATGCTGGATAATGGATTCCCTCTTGCCACTGAATCAAATATATTGAAGGAGCTCATTAAACCTCCCACTATACTCCGCAGTGTGGTGAACACAATTACAGGTACCAGGTTCTGTCTTGTAAAGTTATGCTCTGAACAGGGGTGGACTGACCATTTGGAAACTCGGGCACTGCCCGAGGGCCCGGGTCAGTAGGGGGCCCCATGAGATGCCCCTGGTACCTTTTTCATAGGCTTTTTTGAGTTTGGGCAAGGACAAAGGGGCCCCATGATCCCCTATTGCCCAGGGGCCCCATGAGTTGTCAGTCTGCCACGGGCTCTGAATGACTGCTATATTCTTGGGGGTTTTCCCCATCAGGTTTACTGCTGTCTGTGACCTGATCGAAAAATATCTCCAGCTGCTACTGGCCTGAGGTTTCTCTATGTCCCTAGGGAAAATCCACTAAAGCAGAGGTCTCCAAACTGCGGCTCGGGGGCTGGATGTGGCCCTTTGCTTGAGTTTATCTGGCCCTTGGGACACTATTCCACCAACTATCACCAATGATGGCACACCATTGCCCCAACTGACACCATCAATGGGGCATTATATCAACAATGGGGCACTCTTCCTCCCTTTACAATCAATAAAAGGGGACTGATGCCAGGGAATTATCTACTCCCACTGGCTACAGTCTGAACCCTAAAGTCTGAAGGACAGTAAACTGGTCCTTTCCATAGAAAGTTTGGAGACCCCTGCACTAAAGGGTTGCAGCATACATCATTCTTCACATAAATATGTGTAATGTTTTACTTAGACCACACACCCCACTTAATGAAGACTTCATGCAGGAGTCCGTCAAATTACTATAATCCCAGCAGGGTCTCCAAAAAGAATCCTAATTCACATGGGTGGAATGGAGCAAGTTTTAACGACTCAAAGACCTGTTTATGCAACATGAAGAAAAGACAACTGCCTATACTTCCCGGAGAAATCTTTTAGTTAATGTTTTTTATCTTACAGTATATGCACTTGACAATGATCTAATGTAATCTTGTTGGCTGCTTGGGCAGCACACAGCAACGTAAAGTGTGATTTCATGTCACGGTAAGGGGTCAGGCTCAGAGACCAGTAGCTATAGCAGTAGAGAGGCTCCCACCGACTAGCATGATAAGTGCACAAGCAGGTCACCCTGTCAGATGATACAGTCTCACCCAAGGCATGGGGTCTAAGCATTAACCGGTATTCACCAGAGCTCCTGATGGGGGAGAAGGGTTGTGCTGCGTTTTAGTACCAGGTTGCAGTCCTCAGGATCGTCCCTCCAGGAGATGAGCAAGCCAGATTCCAGTAGCAGATATAACAGGTAGGGATCAAGCAGAAGCATAGTCAGTAAACAAGCTGAAGGTCGGCTACAAGTGGTTTTAGGTTGGGATCGAGCAAAAGCGTAGTCAAGGAACAAGCCAGGATCCGATAATGAATGGTTCCAGGTTGGGATCAAGTGGTAAAGTAGTTGAGGAAGAAGCCAAAGATCGGTAACATATGGTAGTGAAGGTAATAACAGCTGCCGGTGCGCAAGGGGGTAAGATAGCGGTTGGAGATGGCACAATAATATTGCAAACAGGAAACACAAAGTCAGGGCTCAAATAGAAAGGTCTTGGGAGGAGCAAGAAGTTCAAGGTTCACAAGAATGGAATTATATTATTATTTTGTGTTTTTTTTTTTTTTTTTAGGCAATCTTTGCATTAATTTTTGTGTTTGGTTGCAGGTAGCTCGAATGTGGGTGACCAGCTTCCAACCGGCCAGCTCTCAGTGGTTCCATGGAGGAGAACAGGAGTCAAATATACCAATAATGAAGCTTATTTTGATGTCATAGAAGAGATCGATGCCATCATTGACAAATCAGGTCACTGGTTAAAATATACAGTAACTTATCAATTCTCTAATAAGGTTACAGGGGCCATACACATTCTAAATACAGCAAGTGAAGTAAACATTTCAAGCATGGCCTAGAAATCGCCACATTTGAGTTGGTGTAAAGATCACTGTTGCTGCTGGAATTGCTACATTACTTGACATTAGCTGTTCTGGTGAAACCATGCCCTTCTGTTTGCTTTCTCAAACTATAACGGCAAGTACACAACATTGAAGCTGTCCCTTAAATTCTGTACTACCATCTGGACGCATTCCACCAGCTGAAAATGTAGCAGATATGCATACCTGTGGCAGCCACTGTCACTTCTACAGCTTAGATCATTGACTCAGGAAGCTCTCACAATAAACCAGCCTCACCCTCATCCATATAAAATAATACAATGTTTGCACAGTTGGCATCACAAATTGTCACATTTAAAATTTACTTTAACATCTCCCTCCTCTGCCTCCAGAGGCATCTGAAAAACCTGGACTTGAAAGTAGGGGGAGACAATTCAGACCTCTTCCCATCCCCACCAGGTCTGCTTGCAGCCGCAAGTGGGAGGCAGTTATGCAAATACTGACTTTAGGGGCTGCAATGGCACCCTGGGATGTGAGAAGTTGAGAACAAAGCAATGTGATCTTACTGTGCCTTTTATACACCTGCAGCCTTCACTTAGGTTTACTATTCTTTAAAATGGTTTCTAAATAACGAAAAAAAAAAATCAAAGTCAAATACAGTAAATGATTATAAAGTGTAGTTTAATAATGCTGTGTTTTAACACAGGAAGGGTGATTAACTAAAGGAGTACAATTTTCACTTTGAATGCCCAATCATGTGCAAAGGACTTTAAAAAAAAAATAATAAAAACAGATCGGGAATTTCCTGTGCATGTGGTTGGATGATTGAAGTGAATACACCTTCATTTAGCTATGTGAAAAATCTGTTGCTCAAGGGTAATATGCACATGGATGCATATAAGGAGCATTTGATGTGCTTTTAAATGCCTGTCAAGCAACCCAAAGTGTAGTTGTTTGGCAGGAATAACTCTTTAACAGTCAGAGACATCTTGATTCATTTTGTAGTGTTAAATGTAAAGCTGACTTAAGGAAATAAATAGGCTGCCATTGCTTAACTTTCATCAGAATATGGTACTTGCCTAGACGTCATGCTTATCCAATGGCTTCAGTGCTTTCTGAGTTATTGGTCCAGAAAAATTAATCCAGAGACAGCCAGGCAACCAGCTTTTTCAGGAGAGGTCAGCAACAGCTTCCATATTTCTTTAAGTACAGGCAGAGAATTGAAATGGCATATACATAAAAATAAAATTTGTCGCTTGTAGAGTGACTGTCACATGTGAGCCAGTAAATGATCTCAGGCTAGTCTTACACATTATGAAGAAATCCATCAGATTCCCCCCTACATGCTAAACAGCAGGGATGAAGATATTTCACCTGCCAGCTATTGTGTTTTTACCGCCTCTACTGTTAGAATACCTGAGTAACTGCATCTGATTGGTTACAGTTTCTGTTTGGCTAAGAATTTTCACGTGGCTCCAATGTTCAGATCAAAGTTCACTGAGCTAGGAGGTGACAACAAGGCCTCCCATGCCTAAAATTTCAGTTGGTTCAACAGGTTTTGGACAAAAGTTTAACTGTGTATGGCCAGCATTAGAATAAATGGTTCGCAACAAATTGGGGATTCTGGGAGTTGTCCCAGGTGCCAGTATAAAAGATGGTGGAGCTTTGGCACAGAGTGCATTTCTGGTCAAGTTTGATTTTCATCTATTTGGGGTATGGGTAGATTAGCAGTTGGTGAAATTTTTTAGTGAAATTTTGGCAAGAGATGTTGAATTTAGCTAACACCGGATTATGGTAAATTGGGGGCAGTACTTGTCTACAGTTCTACTATTTAGTGTCCAAATATGAGCCATGCTAATTATGCCTTCTGTATTACAGGCTGCACAGTAACTGCTGAGATCCAGGGTGTGATAGATGCCTGTGTAAAACTGAGTGGGATGCCTGATTTAACCCTCTCCTTCATGGTAGGTCAGAAGTATGAAATAGCTGTCTGATAGAACATTGCATTAGCCAACTTACCATCTCACTACTAGTTCCTAGGTAGTCTTCCCCTTCACAGTGAAGAAGAAGTAGGAGAGTAAGGCAGTAAATAAAATACAAGTGTTAAATACAAAAGAGCAGCAATACACTCAAACACTTGGGAAGTAAGACATGAATGTGCAGTCAGCTCAGACCAGTTTTTATATATTCCTTTTCCATGCCGTGGCCAGCAACTGGGAATGCTGTTGCGGTAACACAGGCCAATCTTTACAGATCCATGCATCAAGGGGTAAGTAAAAAGTCCAGAATCCGCAATCATGACTCCACCCACTCTCAAATGTGAGGCGGTACATCATTGAATCATGGTGCGTGTTTCGGGAAACACTCTTTTTTTTTTTTTTCTCCTGACCTCAACTGGATGCCACCCAGATGGAAAAGGGCATTTAGTAAATGTACCAAATCAGAAACCATAAAGCCCTAAAACAGAATAATTAGATTATCCAATGAGCAGACATGGGTAGTCCCCAGAGCTCAGACAGATGAAAGGATATAAGCTTTCACTGCATGTCTCTTTTAAATCTGATTCATGATGCATCAGGAAAAGAAACAGAAAATTGCATAATAAAATACTGAGAGTAGTCCCACCCAAAGTACATGTGAGGAGCTCTGTGAAGTTGTACGGTCCAGGGTTCTGGAAGCTGACCAACACACAGCATATGTGAGGAGCTCTGTTAAAATGGAACTAAATCCATCAATTTAACAGTTTTTAAAAAGAAACGCATTCCAGGCATGCCGGGAATGCTAACGGTCACATTTGCTTGTGTTCTCAAACAAACTGTCATGGCTGAAGTCATAACTAATCACATGTGCAGCACTACTGCAGTTGCAGCTCAGAGGCTAAGATGGCAGCTTCATTGGCTGAAAAAGATAGGAGGGTTTAGTTCTGCTTTAAAGTCATTGTAAACACTTACATATACCCAATGAAGTAACTGGCCTCCGATGATACACAGAGGCGAAACAAATCCTCCATAATAAATTGTACCTGTTTATCTCCAGCTGTCCATCCCCTACATTGATTCAAAATGCACAATTTACAGAGAATCTCTCAGCTCTGAAAAGCAGGGGGCAGGGAGCTGCAGTTAGACTCAGTGTGGAGAGCTCTGAAAGCTGATTGGAGGAAAGAGACACACCCCCCTCACACAGGAACAGAGCTGAGGCTGTCAATCGCAGGCTGTGCCCTCCTCTGTCACCTTTTTTCTCTTGGTGGCAGGAAAACTCATCAGAAGTGACTCATGCTGATAGCAGAGGAACAAGGCAGAAGACAGAAATGACACTTAGAGCTCTGGATTGAGAGAAGTACACACTATAGAGGGATATGCTTTGTTCATATTTCATGTCTGAGATTTACAACCAATTTAAGTTGAAGAATTAAGGGAGCCGACCAACCCACAGCACATGTGAGGAGCTCTGTAAAGTTGCCCAGTACATAATTTAGGAAACAAACTTACCCACAGGACATGTGAGGAGCTCTGTGAAGTTGCACAGTCCACAGTTTAGGAAGCAGATCCACCCATGTTACATGCGTGGAGCTCTGTGAAGTTAGACTTTCTAGGATTTAAGAAGCCGATCCACCCATGGCACATGCAAGAAGCTCTGTGAAGTTGCCTAGTCCAGGATTTAGGAAGCAGACCTACCCACAGCACATGGGAAGAGCTCTTTGAAATTGCCCAGTCCATAATTTAGGAAATTTACTCACCTTTAGCACACATAAGGAGCTCTGTGAAGTTACACAGTCCATGATTCAGAAAGCAGACCCAGCCACAACGCATGTGAGAAGTTCTGTGAAATCTGGGTGTAGTGGATTGGATATAACCTAGGTTAGGGTACATTGAGGAGATATTCTCTCTTCAGCATGGGGAGTTTGCTGGGTAGCGTTCATAGTTCACCAACTGATATCACATGTCTGGAATTGCCCTTTAGTAATAATGCCATATTAATTTTTTCCTATTCATGCAAATGAGTTTAGATAAAACAGTGCAATTACAGATGAACAATATAACAAGTGAAAACAAGTGCCTTACAATATTACAGGAAAATACAATGCTGTTCTACATGACCTAATGAATTCTCCAAGTAAGAGATGTCTGTTTTATCTTTCTCATTTCCCAGAATCCTCGCCTTCTGGATGATGTCAGTTTCCACCCCTGTGTACGTTTTAAGAGATGGGAATCTGAGCGAATTCTGTCTTTCATACCCCCAGATGGCAACTTCCGCCTCCTGTCCTATCACGTCAGTGCTCAGAAGTAAGAAAGGGAATATTGGAATCCGACTGGGGTGATTTGAACCATTATACCAAAGACTGCAGCACATTTCTCAAAGTAGAACTATAGGCAAAACTTGTTTTTCCATTATGGTTAGAGTAAGGGAGGGTTATAACCCCTGTCAATATTTGTTCCTCAATCTGTGTCCCATTGCAGAGATTTCCCTTCACTTCCTGTCCCATAGCCAAAACAGGAAGTGAGAGGAAATTCCTGCAAATTAAGGGAACTCCTTGGGGACCTCTAGGTCACCAGAACTAGTGTCCCCAATGGAAGATTTCCCCTCTATTACTTTTCTGGGGACAACCCAATATTTGGGATTTTCTTTTATTTTCACTTTCAATCACAATGGTAAACAGGACAAATAGAGAGGGTGAATCTCAACAGGGGCACAGACAATAATAAAAAAAACTGACAGGTGTTCTAATCCCTCCCCACTATGTCCATAACTAAAAAAAAGTTTTGCCTTTTAGTTAGTTATACTGTAAAATAAATAAGTTGGCATCATACAAAATTTGTAAGGAAATACAAGAAATAAGCTCACTTAGGAAGAGTTCACTTTTTTAATTCCTTATTTTTTTTTTTTTTTTTTTATGTAATTCAGGCAAATTGAATGACACAAATAGCAATGTAAGTGTACATTCCAGAGTGTCCAAACATGCAAAGGAGTGTCTCTTTAATTCTGCAATTTTGAGGTTTTCAACCCTGTTTACTATTTTTTTTTTTTACATAGCAGAGGAAGGATAGGGAGGGAGGAGAAGGGTATATGGGGAGGAACACTGGGGGTCTTGTGGGAAGGAAAGGAGGAGAATGCAAGAAGAGGTGCTCTGCACCTGTGGCCGCCATCCCACTCCATAACACCAAAGGAAAAAGGAGCCATGGACTGCAACCCTGGTGATCCTCCATAAAGATTGGATGTAGTCATTGACAATAATGGATCTGCATTCTTGGGAATAGGTATAGTCTATCCAATGGAATCATTTATTTTGCAATTTCTCCTCCCAGGTGCTTCAGAAAAGCTTTTAGATTCCATATGTAGGAGAACCATAATTTTGGAGTTGGAGGTGTAGCCTGCTTTCAGAGTAGGTGGGCGCAACTTTTGGCAGCATTAAAAAAAGGTGAATGAGAAGGGACTGTTGAGTTCATATTTTTTTAAAACTAATCGGAATATATAAATTTTATAATGTTTTTTTTGAGATATATATATATATATGAGAAAGATCAAATTATTAGCACAGGTGAGTTGGCAGGGGACTGTCAGGATTGGACACTGATATTAAGGATTTGGGCAATTGCTCAGCTGATTTGGGCCAAGTTTTCCTTGGGGAGTAGTTAGTGCTTGTTAGGATGTAATTAAACTTGAGTTCAGAGATTATTTTTAAAGTTCTTCCTTTCCCCTTCCCGGATGGTAAAGAAAAAAAAAAGTCCCAAACTTTGCTTACCCTCTCCATGCTTCAGTGCTGTCCCAGACTTATTGCTCGCTCCAGTGCAATTGGTCCTTTTTAGGGCAAACCAATACTCTTCCAGCCTGTCATTTATACACCCCTCTAGGAGATGCATCATCATGCAGCCTGGGCTCACAGTACTCCGGGACCAAAACCAAAATTTCATATATTATATTGCAACTTTACTAGTACTTTTTTTTTCTTTTTCTCTCTGGAGGGGACAATGCTCACTCACCCTTCTGATTCAGGACAGCAGAAACCATAGGACATCCATATTTTTTATTATATATGCAGGCTCTGTTCCTTGCTTAGTAATGGCACACATTGTTTGCCCTCAACAATATTGCTGTCCGCAGTGGCTAAAGATGTGAAACCCTCATAATGCTTCTGGTAGCTACAGACTTTATTGATTTAGGCTTTAGGGCACATGAGAGACCTTGGAAACAGTGTTTTTTCTTCTTTTTTTTCATTGCAAGAAAAAGGAACTTTTTAATGAAAAATCTAAAATATTAATGAAATGGTGGCAAGTGCCCTCTTCATTCGTATGAAGCTTGTATTGTAATATTTCTGCATTACTTTTATTTTGTATGACTGAAATTTACACTTGCATTCAAATCTGCTATTAGCGACATCTTGGGTTCTATGTGAATGGAATAATCACTATAATAACAGCTTGCAGCAGGGACCACCTTTTTATTTCCAGGTACGGGTTTTTTTATAATATGAGGATCTATTATTAATTACCTTGTTAAAGACTGAACTTACAGTGTGTCAATAAATGTATTTTATGATTTGTACTTAGTGTTCTGTGGTTTTAAATGGTCATCAGCTTTCCTAAGCGCTTACTGTGGACTATTGGATCACAACTTGCATTTAAATACTTACAGCAGACAGAGCTGATGTTATCAGGTCTTTTCGTCTGCTTTCCACCCATACCATAATTCTAATACAGTATATCATCTTGCTGTTAATGTTCTGTTCTGAGAACACCAGCTGCTAAGAACTATGAATATACAGGCTGGATATTCTCAATTTCCCTTACACAGTTTAGAATCATGTGTCAAAAATTGTGATTGGAGTGTAGCTGACTTCTACACTGCAGTGCGTTGCAGTAATGCAATCTCTACTTCAACGCACATTATGTGTTAGTGTGTCACGGTGTCATTCGTTTTGATTGTTGCCCCAACACACCCCCAGCACATGCACTGAAGCACTACAAGAAGTACATTAACACACCACTGTGTATTGTTTTGTGTTGTGTTTTTGCTGAAAATGGTGTATACCCAAATTTTAGGACACTTTGGGGTGTTGCCAGCTCATTCACATGAATGGGCTGCCCTAACACAGTGCACGTTAACATGCTAAAAAAACATAGGCTATTGTAATGCACCAGGATGCCAAGATGTCAGTGAACCCTGAGCCTTTTAGTGGCTGTGAATGCAGCAATATATTTGTCCAGCAGATGGTGCAGTAGGTCACTTCATTGGATGGTTACTTGTATTAAGGAGTACTCTGTGTAAAGTTGCTGAGGATGTTTGTCACTATTCCATATGAATACATTAGAGCTAGATGTGTTGCTACTGTATGCAAACTTGTAGCTGATTAGTTATGTCTTACAGCTTGGTGGCCATTCCAGTCTATGTAAAGCATGCAATCAGTTTTCGGGAAGGCAGCAGTTCTGGGCGATTCGAGGTGACGCTGGGACCTAAGCAGAGCATGGGTAAAACAGTAGAGGGGGTGACCCTTACTGGGCAGATGCCAAAGGGGGTCCTGAATATGACACTCACCCCATCTCAGGGGACGTATGTCTTCGATCCAGTAACCAAGGTGTGTTCCCAGTGCAATGTGAATACTACTGCCAAACGTAGCAGCATATTCTAAAACTCATTACACATCTTATCATCTGCTTCCACAGTTGTTGTCTTGGGAGGTGGGGAAAATTAATCCTCAAAAACTACCAAGTTTAAAAGGAACCATGGTTCTTCAAGCTGGATGCTCAAAGCCAGATGAAAATCCAACGCTGAACCTTAATTTCAAGATCCAGCAGCTGGCGATCTCAGGTATGCACTGTATTATCCTACATCTAGAGATGATTGGCTTTGTTAGTATTAACGATCACAGAGGTGAAACTCTTAGGTTGATGTATAAAAATTTGCGTAGCCAATTTCCCATGGAAACATTCATTCATTCTGTGGGAATGGGAAGATAAAACAACTGTAAGTAGGCTATATCCTGTGCTGCTCGAGAGTAAAAAATTGATTTAAAATGACAAATACTGCATTAGAGCACTAGATGGTGCGAAAGTGTCATATGCATTTCCTATAATACTTGGATCCATCCAGTAGCCAAATGTGGTTTTTTCCATTCAAACCAATGATTTACGTTCTAACAGCAAAGGATATAGCCTATTTACCCTTACAGTATTTTTTCTCTATTTGTGCAGTAAAAATGTACATGTACTCTCACTGGGTGAATAAGTATGTGACTTCTTTAAAAATCAACCCCTTTGTGTAATTATGAAGGGCTTATTCTGACGTGGCCAGGGGGCATAAATGCGAGTGGTTGACTTGTGGTTTTATGCCCCATCTTGTTGCAGCTGAAGTTCTTTGGTCAGCACTGTATGCAGGGAGTGGATCTGGACTCTGCATCTGACTGATCTTTCTCCAGATGATGGCCCTATAATAAGTCTTCAGTCTCCATACAGCATCTTAATGCCTAAAATGCAGTAAAAATAAAAACACAAAAAAATGCGCACAAGGGACATAACTTACAGTCAGTAGAATAAGTCTCTTGTGCTGATGCCCTTTCTGTTAGGTAAAACCCTCCTCTGTCCATGACCCCACCCCCCACCCCTGCTGCCACATTCTTCCAGTGCAGGGAAGGTTAATAGAACTGCCACAGGTTCTCATCAAGAGCGCCCAACTATGTCTGCCCTTTTCACCCAGCTGCTCCATTCATGGAAGCTATACTACAGGATAAACAGGATCTATAAATGGAGGGGGGGGGGGCCTTGGAATCATCCTCCTGTCCTCCATTCATAAATCACATCCAATAAATATATGCCCTTCAAATATGAGGTGGCTAGAGTGGAGTTTCAATGAATGTCAATGGGCGGCGTGAGTTGCAAACAAATGGTCATATTGTGAAAACTATCAGGACTATGGCTTAGCCGTGGATAGCTGAACGTTTTTATATAAGATTTGTTTAGGTGGGCTTGAAAATGAGGGAGTGATGGCAGTTTAGAAATCATGTCCTGATTTTTCAGCTCACACTCTAGCTTTTGTCAGCTCCCACTCTAGTTTTGAACATTCCGCCATTCATTCCTATGGAACAAATTTCACCACAAAAACGCTGATTAATTTGTGAAACCATTCGGTGAAATGTTCCACAAAGTAATAGCACATCAATCGGGAACAATCCGCACGTTTCGGTATATTACTGTCTATGTAGTGTAAAACCTGTGGGAGGAGTTAGGGTGGTAAATTTGGCTATAATAATAAGAATATATATGTGAGATAACAGTAAGTGGCCTTGCCATGCAAGAACACTTAAAAATCCTAATGACCTTGCCACACAACAGAGGTAGGTGACCTGTGGTTTTCGTTTGGCTAGCAAGGCATGCTGGGACTTGTAGTTTTTTTCCATGTTAATGCCAGCCTGTGTTATGTCATCTGATTGTAATGCTGTGTTTAACCCCCTGCAGGTCTGAAAGTGAACAGGCTGGACATGTACGGTGAAAAGTACAAACCCTTCAAAGGAATCAAATACATGACCAAGGCTGGCAAATTCCAAGTCAGAACATAAGGGGGTGCTGCTATCCAAGGGATATCCCGTCATGCCCATGAAGTGTGTAGCCATCTCTGGTGCTTGTGATGCTTTGGTCCCATGTAAAAAAGCAGAGTATGCAGAGGGTGTGACCTGCTGTGTGTTTCTAGATAAAAAGTAGAGGCTGTGTCATGTTGCGTGGCAGGCTTGTCTTGTATGGAGACAAAGTGTGTATGGGATATATTGTGTGAGTATAGATTCATTAGGGATCAGACACTACCGGATTTTATGTAAAACTTAATGTAAACTTTTGTTAAACTACCACTTAGAAAATGAGGAAATCCTGAAACCTGGCCTGTATGTTGTGCACTCTGCTCTCCCTGCTGGTCAGTTTAAATTGCTTGTGTGTAAGTGAGTGGCCCATTGTTCTCCAGTGTATGACTACTATACCTGACTACTGAAAGTTATAGAAAACGGCATGCTGGGTAATACTGGAGCGAAGAAAACAACGTACGCTGTTTACTGTATGCTATGACTACTGAAGCAGGATATTGATGGTTGGATCTAATCAACAGCAACCAGACAGTCCTATGGCTTTATACCATATTTTTTTCTTCAAGTGATTTTAAAGGGTTAGATCACTTTTATAATACATTTACAGTACATGCAAAGGGCCCCAGTAGGTTAGAAATCATAATGCATTTTATAGAAATTCAGCTTCCTTTAAAAAACACATACCTGACTTCTGCAAAGCTTGGCCAAAAAACTAGCCATCTCACTGATCAGCACTATTTTGCATATAAGCTAGAAAGGATGATTTGTTGAGTACGCCCCTATGATACCAGGAGCAAACATGGCTTCTCCTGCATTGCACACCCACAAATTTGCACATGCGCAGTGCACTCTCACTCCCCTGTCAAAGCAGCACCGAGCTCAATGGACCATCCGAGCTTCTGGATGGCCCTAATCAATGAAAATATTTATTTTTTTGGCCAGGTTTTATTGAAGCTGCAGTTGGCCTGCCAAACTTCTGTAAAATGTACCGTGAATGCACTTACTGGAGTACATTGTATGTGCTGCAAATTGTATCGTAAAGGTGGACTAGCCCTTTAAACTGTGACTGTCAATCACATAATATTGTCAGGCATTTTGTTTGCTGGAGCCATTCCTATAAATTTCACGAGGGGCATCATGTTGGCATACACTGCAGCTTATGTTTAAAAAGTGTGTCAAGAAGAACACCGTAACCATTTTCAACTGAATTCAACAGAAATGGCAGTTGGAAGGTTTGTTTAATTTTTGTCCTATAGCACCCTTTTTAAGGCAACAATCACACTGGCGACAGGGGGTACTTTGTCTGCGCCGAGCATTCATCACTGCAGGTAACCATGGGCTGTGCAGAGAGAATAGGTGCTGTCACTGGCGGTCAGTCATTATACTGAACAGGGATGGCACCAACCCGTTGAGAGCCCCAGGAGGAATTGCTGCTACCAGTCACACCGGCCCTAATCACCGGTGTGAATGTAGCCTTCTAAAACAAGAAATGTCATTCTTAGCACACTTTTCATACTTTGCTATTTTGAAACTTTTGTTTATTAAGTATGCTGAAGGGATATGTATTTGCTGCCCACAGCAACCAGTCAGGGTGCAAGGGCTTTAGTGAGTAATCCCTACTTTTTATCAGGGTAGGGGGTCTCATAACTGACTTGGGCCCTTTGTCGGTGGACTTTTGTTCTCTTTAAACGGGTGTTGCATTCTCATACAAGTCAAAAGAAATGTAAAACCCACATGAAACAGGTCAGATGGAGATCAACTGTATCTGTCAAGTCGGAATGATCACTGAAGCTCCCCGGACTGATGTAAAACTGATGCCAATAACACAAGCCCAAGGTCCGTTAACTCTGGTATTACTCAGCATCCACTGCACAAGAGTGCAATACTATGGAACAGCTAAACTGATGCATGAAATCCTGATGATGAATGTGCAATGCACTGACTCTCTCCAAGGTGGGATGGTGAACCCGGCAAGTGGGACATGTCTGCTTCAGCATGTACTTACGTAAATAAAATAGGATCAGATGGTTGTTTATTTTCCTGATGGTTGTTTATTTTCCTGTGTGATAATAAAGAATAATGTAAGTTACCTAACCCTTTTGAAAACTTCTCCAATGATTCAATGAAAGGTACTTGTGTTTTTTGGATTTTGTTTTTAGAGTCCAGATGGATGCTTGCCATAGATTATTCTCTCTCTGATGTACTTAAAATAAAAGAAATACCCTCCAACCCAATCCACATTACCAAGATTAATTTAGTCACACTCATATTTGGGGCAATTTTACCTGCCTTTCACAAGCACTAATTTTAGGGACCTAAAAACCTGACCCTCAAATCAGTAGGAAGGTTTGCAGTCATTTGCAAAGATACTGTTTTACTCCTTAAAGTGATTGTAAACATATATTATTTTTTTTTTTTAAAATCACAAACATGTCATACTTACTTGCTCTGTGCAATGGTTTTGCACCCGGGGAGAAGATGCCGACGCCAGCAAGGGACCCAGACTTTTAGCAGGGGTGTCAAACTGGCGGCCCTCCAGCGAAACTACAAGTCCCATCATGCCTCTTCTTTTGGGAGTCATGCTTGTAACTGTCAATCTTTCATTGCCTCATGGGACTTGTAGTTTGGCAATAGCTGGACGGCCGCCAGTTTGACACCCGTGTGTCAGAGGAGGTAAGTTTAGTGCCTTTAGTTCTACTTTAAGGGTTTGTTTACCTTTGCAGTAAGATGCTCTATGCAGTAAAAAGTGCTCTGTACTTTTAAAAATACAGTGCAACTTTAATATACAGTATGCAGTGTGATTTAACTTCCATACATGTATGCCAGTCATGATTTGCCCATGGCTTGGCTGAAAAACTATTACTGAAGTTGATCGGCACCATCCTGTCTGTGATCTGGAGCTCCCTACATCATGTTAGGTGTGCTCTCATCATCACTAGATCTGGCGCTCTCCCTCTTTCAAGACCTGTAAGTGTGCAGTGCTTCTTGCTGATGAAGATGCTGTGCTCTGCGCTGCTGCATCATGGGAAAGAGCGTGAACTGCGCATGCATAAGACTTGAAAGAGGGAAAGCGCCTGTTCCTGTGATGTGTTTAAGTGGAAATTAGTTAAATTTTAAAAGGAAAAGTTCTGCCTAATAAGAGACACCATTTATTATTATTTTTAATATTATACAGTATTTCTAAAGCGCCAATGGTTCGCTCGCTCAGCACTGTACATTACAAAGGGGGACAGAACATGTGACAGAACAATACCAATACAATGCAAAACATGAGGGGATTGAGGGCCCTGCTCTTTGGAGCTTACAATCTAGGAGGGAGGGGATAGTGGTACAGGAGGAGATGGCTGTGGGGAATGGAGTGGTAGGAAGAGTGGAGGAGGTCGGCAAGTTAGCAGGGGGTGGGGTAGGCTTCCCTGAAGAGATGGGTTTTCAGGGTGCGCCTAAAGGAGAGGAGAGTAGGTGATAATCTGATGGGTTGGGGCAGGGAGTTCCAGAGGATAAATGACACCTTGGAGAAGTCCTGGAGGCGGGCATGGGAGGAGGAGACCAGGGAACTAGAGAGAAGGAGGTCTTGTGAGGAGCGGAGTGTGTGTGCTGGGCGGTACTTGGATATTAGGTCAGTGGTGTAGTACGGGGCAGTATGGTGGACAGCTTTGTACGTCAATGTTAGGATTTTGAATTTGATTTGTTGCGCAATCGGAAGCCAGTGGAGGGATTGGCAGAGGGGGGTGTCGGAGATGGAGCGGTTGGAAAGGTGAATGAGTCTGGCAGCCGTATTCAGGATCGACTGAAGCGGGGATAGCCAGCGGCGAGGCAGGCCAGTGAGGAAGGAGTTGCAGTAGTCGAGTCGTTTATAAGCCTTATTTGGAAAAAAAAAAAAATAACAAACATGTTATGCTTACATGTTTTGTGTAATGGCGTTGCATAGAGTGGCCCTGAACCTCTTCCTTTGGGGTCTGCTGCTGAACCTCTTCCTTTGGGGTCTGCTGCTGGTGCTCTTGGCTCTTCCTCTTCTCTGTCCACCACTATAGGAAGTCACTTCCTATGGGGCCGCAGGCTTGCTCCCATGCTGGGCTGCTTCATCCATAGACACACACAGTATGCCCCACATCAAAAATTACATGGAGAAAAATTAAATACAAAAGCTACAAAGTAAATCCATCTATGGAAAACAGAGAAAGCGACAAAACCAAAAAAATTGTACTCCATCTGTGTACCATTGTCAGGATCGTGGATGGTGTAAATGATTATACATTACTCCCCCAGACCTCACACAAAATATATAGCTATATAAACTAGACAACATGTTGTAATTGCACAGAAAAATTACCACCAAAAAACAATCATCATGTCCCCCAACAGCAGAGGACAAGTCCCATCAGAAGCCTTCGGAGGGAGACCCGGCAAAATTAATTGTATTTTGTAAAAGGGGATCCATGGAGAAGAACCCCAATACAGTATGTATAGCAATGCCCTATCTCTGAAGCAGGAGGCAAAAAGGAAGATAAGTCTAATTTGCTATAGCAGGGCTTTCAAGCCATAAGGACCGCACTTTATCAAATTTGGAGCATCCTGGGGTGTTCTATGTGGCTTTATACAATGAAAGAGTATTGTTTACTATCGATTTCCATTTTTCGGTTTCCAGTGAAGAACAATTGCTTTCCTGGTATAAAAAGTAACATACAAAGCAAGGTTCTTGTTGCTTTCCCTGCAGCCAAGGAGTCAACAAGGCCCATCAAACAGTAACCAATCTCCTGCGGCACCCGATTGCTGTGACTGTATAAATGGAGTGCCCAATAGTTATGAACAGCTGGACAAGGTCAGAAGATATGGAGAAAGTCTGCACTGAGAGCAGAACACCTCCAACACTTTTTAGACTAGGTAGCTGAGAATCTCCCCACCCTGGCTGAAGTAAGATAATAACAATACACAATTTTAAACTCTATAAGCTGATCTCTAGCTGAAATCAAAGCATGGAACAGATC